TGATGAAGGGTCTAGGCCCGAAACGTCAACCTCTCTGCTCCTATGATTCTGCTTGGCCTGCTGTGTTCATCCAGCCCTGCACCTTGTTGTCTCCAATTCTCCAGCATCTGCAGTTCCTACTATCCCAGAGATGATAATGGTGTTATCTGGGACATTGTCCCTAAGGTATGATTCCATGAGTATGACTAGGTCAGTCTGTTGATGAATAGTTTGTGAGACAGTTCTTCCAATTTTGGTTCTGAGGAAGGGTCACTGGACCCGAAACGTTAACTCTGATTTTTTCTTCACACATGCTGCCAGACTTGCTGAGCTTTTCCAGCAACTTCCGTTTTTGTTCCTGATTTACAGCACCGGCAGTTCTTTCGGTTTTTCTTCCAATTTTGGCACTGGCCCCCAGTTGTTAGTAAGGAGGACTCTACAGGATCGACAGAGCTGTTTCTGCCGTTGCTGTTTCCTAGGTCGATACCAGGTGGTCCGGCCGGTTTCATTTCTTTGTTGAGATTTCAGTAGATTAATATGTTATCTAAAGAAGTTTTGTGTGATAAGGGAACTAAGGACTTTCCTCAACCTCTCCCATCACTCTCAGGTTAAACCACCACCAGTCGTTGCTCTCTCTAATGAAAGAGATGCATTATGGTATATGTAGGACTATGGTAACTTTACCTTTTTAAACTAAGTGACTCACTGATTGCAACCAAATTTAGTTGGGATTAGGCACTGATCTGCTGCTTTCTTATAACATTTATGTAAGTAAATTTATTTATGACTTATTAGTCTTCACCAGTTTTTACAGCATTAAAGCAAAGCACTAATTGGAACTCTATTTAAGAATTACCTCCTCCACATTGTTTGGAGCACTGGGACCACCTCTTCAAAGCCCACTCAAATGCAGCCATGTCTTCCTGTAAAACTTCATTTGTCATAGTGGCCAAGTCGTCTTCATGAATAGTATACTTATAACTCAGGGAGCATTTGGTATCATCACTTGGCATCATCTGTTGTTTAGTAAAAGGGACAAATAAATAGTATGATTACATATTCATTAAGTCTATTGCTTTGATAATCACCTTTACAATGTAACAGGCAGTACACATGCACATTAACAACTACAGGAGAAAATTAATTGACAAAAGCATGGGGGACACTCTGCTTGCTTCCTGATTGGAACAAGGAACAGGCTGAGTGCAGTTGAGATCTCTCTACGGAAGGAGAGGCTGTCATGAGGTTCCTGAAATTTTAGCACTGATAGTTAAAGGTAAATGAATAAATAATGATATATCATGGCAACTGTATATAAAGGAACAAGAACTTAAATACAAGAATGATTCAGCCAAAGAAGACTTTTTAGTCTGTTTGTATTATTCTTCCCAGAAAGGCAATCAAATAATTTCACCTTTGTAACCTTTAACTGTCTTTCAAAATGACTCAATGACGACAATAACTAACCTTCCTGGTCATCAGTTTCATCAATTAATTCTCTCTGTAAAATCAACAACGAAAGCACCAGGCCTAGCACCTCTAATACAGTAAAATGCATCCATGATGAAATCAGCCACAAATTGAATCAGAGCCAAAGCAATATTAGGACCACAAGAAGACAAGATCATACATTTAATGAATCACCAGTTGGCAAAGATGGTGGTGGGGCAATGATTTGAAAGAAATGTGTACAAATCAAACTATTTAAATTCTGTCATGTCCAACTTTCTTTTTTATAGCCATCCACATAATGTGATAATTTTGCACTCAGCAATCTAATCTATAGCAGCTTCAAAAGCTTGCTCAGAACCTAGCTCCTCAATCCCGTCTTTTGTCATCTTTCCCAGAGTTTCTTTCAATTCCTGTTCAGAGTCCACATTAGCTCTCTCTAATCAAATGCTGTGGGACATTTCATACTGTTGATGCACACAAGTCTAATTTGTGTCTATATTGGTAGTAACTGGAGTGTAATCTTACCAGCACTACTATCCCATCATGGAGGGGTCCAATGGTTTGTAGAGATTCCTTGTCATCATTGTTGGTATACTCCCATATTACTCCCATTTCAATGAAAGTTTTAGTATCAGGAAAATCATCTTCTCCATTCAAAATGAAATTTCCTGTCACTTGGTTCTTGATTACTTTGTAAATAAAAGAAACCTTAAAGTCCATGTTAAGTAAATACTATAGTTACATTTGCTTCAAACCATAAAGTTGTAACTTTTGAATAGCAGTTAAATTTCAATGCCAACTTTCACTAAAAATTGCATTTAAAACACTAAACACGATAAACATTGGACATATCTCCCCAGTACAGTTCGCACCTTAAAGAAAATTAAGTCTCTTACTATCTTGAGGTTGTAAACAGCTAGCAGCACATTTGAATTTGAGAAGTACAAATATTTTACAAAGAACCATTATAGCTTGGGAGAACTATGTTTAAATGATGAAGTCAATTCAAATCATTGCTTCAAGGTTCATTTTGGGGAGGACTTACCAATGAAATGAGGAGATGCATTTGATTCTTGAATAGTGAGATGTCTAGCTCCAGCTGGAATTTCAAACATCTTCATGTAGCCTTTCAAATCAGAGAAAATTAGTGACTAAATTATGATGTTATCAAGTATGGAGCACATTTTAACTGAAGTGGATACTAAATCAAAGCAAATACCTTAGATGCTGAAAACCTGAAATTAAAACAAAGGCTGCTGGAGAAACTCAGCAGGAGTCGCAAGAAGGTCATATTGGATTCAAAATGTTAACTCTGTTTCTCTTTCTATGGAATAGCGATCTGAATTCTTCAATTGTGTTAAATGCAATTTGTGTTGAAGAAACACGCGTAGAAGAAAATACTTGTTCAAATTAAAAAGCAATTGTCTGGTCCAGAAATCCAGGATACAATGAGGAAGAAATTACTTGTTTCAATAAACCAGCTACTTTCAATGAAGGACATTTATGAGTTTAAAGGTCTTAAAAATGGTGATATGAGACAGATGCATGGGTTAACAGGGAAGAATTCACCTGCAAAGGGAATTCATGAGATTAAGAGTCCTCCAGATAAGGTAATGGATCACTAGGTTTAGCAGGAAAACAGTCTTCTGTGAAAGACAACCAAGATATAAAAGATTGTCCAGTGAACAAAAATTTACAGATGCTCAGTATCAAAGAGCCATTGTCTAGGATTGCTGGCTTTCACAGCCTCCTCTATGTCTTAGAGAAAGCATCATCTAAATACCAACAGGTACCAATGGCACAACTAGTTAATATTCCTTACAGAAGATTCGACGGAGAAGGAACAGAACATTCCAGAAGACATGTAACCTGGCTGTAATTTCGAGAGACTAAATTCTCTTTTCTTATTTTATATAACTGGGACTTGTATTTTTTGGAACAGCATACCTTTAGAATCTTGCTTTCTTTGGGAATAGTTAGTAGTTAGAAGGGGTTTATTCGCTTTGTTAATAGTTTAGTTAATTTGTTCACTGTTAGAGTTAGATAAATAAATTGTTACTTGTTGATTGTAAAGTGAGTGTCAGGGATTTATTCTATTTAACCACTTGAAGTTGCTGAAAGACAACTTTTCACACCCTTTTTACAGATTATAAATCTGTATGGATCTGCTCAGCCCTGAAACATAGCAATGGCCACAATTTGGAACTGTGGTCAATGCTGATCTCCAAAATTGTCTCCAGTGCTGCAGTTTGTTCTTCATGATCTCTGTCTACCTCTCATCTGTGGCTCTGGTTTTGATATCAATGCAGCTGCAATCTGCTGTATCATTACCTGAAAGGAATAGAAAACTTTGGGATATCACCACAAAGGAGAAGGAGAAATATATCTTGGGTATGACTCTCAGACATGGCTGTCTGTTTTATGTCACATAAAGTTTTCCAAGATCTGATAGAGTGTTAAATAATTGTGAAGTATATATTCCATTTGAACACACAGAATATTGAAGTGTATTATATGAAATATCATTATCAAATTAACATTACTCAATTTTTACGAAGACAATTTAAACTATTATATTACTGCAGGAATGTACATAAATGTCCGACAGCAACCATTGACTTGTCGATCTCCAAATCTAATGATTCAAAATATTGGGTTGCATGTTATGGGCCTACCACAGGTGGGAAAGCATGTGGGTGAACCTTAAATTAGGATACTATCTGTCATTGGCACGTGCCCACTGCTGGTCAGCCCATTCCTTCCCCCACTCCAACTTTACACATGAGTGAGGGAGGTGCCAGATGGGCCATCTGGTTTTGCCCAATTACGGCTCTGTCTAACATGTAGCTCCAAACCCCTCTTGCCAAGGCCTGTCAACCTTGGCCCCATTGAGATCCCATCCTCCAAGTTGCTGGCAGCTCTCAGACAGAACTACTACCTGGAGTCCAAGAAGATAAAGCCCAATACAAATAAAGGGCCATTGTCTAGAAATTGACAGCCTGCTGAACTGACTGAGCAAAGATGAGTTCCCCCTTAATTTTTACACTGCGGTGTGGGAGAGTCTGTCTTAACTCATGCAAAATCCATGCACTTATTCGGAATTAAAGTTAGATTTCCAATTGAAATCCCATGGATTCTGGGGGTTAAATTCCCAGATCCTATCTTTCCAGTCGAAAATATATCCCAAGAGTGCATTAGTACTTTAACAAAGTTAGTACATTAACTTTGTCTTTAGCCTGTTCTTCCTTCATGTGTGGTTTCTCATCGCGAGAGTGAGATCAGTGAAATATCCAATAATATAGTCACCATAAATAGCAACTATCAGTTTTGTTTTCCAGTAGTCAGCATTATGGATTTCGAGTTATATTTACTTACATAAAGTATCACGGAGGTGGCCTGCTCTTTCTAGTCCAGCCTCTGTCCAACCCTGCTAACAGATTGGATGACCCATTCTCTCCTCTCTCAACACCAAATTCAGTGGGTGAAGCCTCTGAATGGGAAGTATAGCTGCTATTCCCATCCTTAGCTGAAGCAGCTTTATACCAATCAAATAACTTACCACTAATTATCAGATTTATTGTGTAATTAGTGCAGACACTGCTGTCTTCATTTACTAAGTGATAGAGACACTGTGTTCCAATATTTTAATTGCAATTTTTGAAGATATAAATAACAAACAAACATACAAACCTGGTTTTTTTGCTGCTCTGGAAAATGTCCCTTTGATTATTTTACAGTGCGAATTATCACCACCACACACCCCACATTTGTCTTCCTTTTTAACGGAGCCCAGTACTTTGTCACAGCCCACTTTCTAAAACATCAAAAGAACATTAGATTTCACATTTTGGGAAATTTATGAGTAACATTAATAGGATCTTGTTGAAGATAAGCATTAATATTTAAGAAAGCCATTAATATGAAGGACATGCTCACTGAGACACAGTATTATACAGTATTAGTCCAACAATAGTAAATGCTAAAACTAGGTAATCACTTTCTAATGAATTCTATATTCATGGACTCCTATGGCACTTGCAGGATTCTCACATTTTACACAATGTAGTCTTAAAGATAGGGTAGATGAATATCCTCAGTTGTGTCCCGTTATCCAGTATAAGTTATTATTTTCTAGATGTATTCAAACAAATCAGTAAGATATGACGTACATACTATTACATTTGTAAACAGTTATATCTTTATAAAGAATTGTTAGGGACAGGTCAAAAGTAATAACAAGCCCAAATTCTCTACCAGTTAGTGGGTACACTCTATGTAGATTCCCCATCTCGCTGGGATCTATTCATGCTAAAATCATCTCGAAAATTTTCCAATCAACTTTCTGCAGACGGTTCCATGCAGCAAACTGTGTTAATGCTTCAAACATCAATGTTTTAGCAGTACCAAATCTTACTATTCAATCACCTTTCAGTTGTTAGTCACTATGAAACCTTGAGACTTTAATTTGCCAAGGCAAATATTGGCAATTCGTTATTTAATGCTGTTTATTTTATTTTGTTTAATTGTGAAATCAAGACCCAATTGACATTAGTTAATCTATACATTTCCAAATGTTTAAGAAAAAATGTAAATGCATTTCCCAGGCATACCACAATTTCGAATGTCTAGATCAACAAGAACTTAGCCAGTCCATTTTATAGCCTTATTGAGAAAAAGAGTTAGCTATAACAACTGTGCACCAATCATTTTGCATTTGCATGTGACAGCACTAAGTTAGTATTTCCATTATAAAAAGAAAGCAAGAATATTTCAATGCTGTTGTATGAACGCATGGTCTATCAGAAAAAAGGAGATTTGGAAAACATGTTCTTTAAATATATTTTGAAACACAAGCTTGTTCTCAGACTTTTTTGGAATTGACAAACTGATGTATTTTGACTTTGTGTACCCTTAAAAGGCTATCACCACATTGCAATGTGGTTCAGATTGTTAAAATAAGTAAATAACTACACACACAAAAAAGAAGTGAAACAGCCATCATGTGTGCTTTTCCTCCTTATATCCTCTAGCTACCTCTCCTTTATAAGCAACCACATACAAATCACGAACCATCGACCTAAGGTGGGGCATCATAAGGTAGGCATAGGTTTGTGTTATGCTTCTGTCTAGTGTGTAATACTGTGTAAAATATGCCAAGTAGTTACATGGCATTCACCCAATCTGTGTAAATAATCCAGATATATACCTAAAACGGACATCAAAATTGCATTGAAAAGCAATAGTCCCTTTAACTCTGTTAATTAGTGTTAGATATGGCCACATATAAGTATAAGGTTATTACATGTTTAAGACCCCTTCATAAAATTAATCATTGACAACCAGGACAGGTGTTAGGATTGTTTCACTTAAAATTCTTCAATAACTACCTCAGTCACCGCAAAGTTTTGTATATTAAGTGTATTTAAAAAATTAACTTTTCTGTAGAGCCAAGCACTCACACCACAATCCTGGAAATCAGCCTTTCTTGACATTACACAATCCAATCCTTCTCCTAGATCATACCTGAGAGTTGCTGTCATCAAGTCAAAACAGTGTTTTCTCATGGGACCAGCTTCCTTTGAAGTCAGGACAGGTACCATCTCTCCCAGGGATATAGGTCAGGCCTGAATTAGCCCTGACCTTATTTCTGTTTAGGCTGTGAGTGACCAGGCTAATAACCCTGAGAAATTTTGTAAAAGCAATATTTTAGATGAAAAACTATCTTAAATTCCACCTGGATTTTATTGGACTATATCTAAAGTTCAAAAAGAAACACTTTTCAATGCCTTCATTTGTGCCATTTTGCCAGAGTTAAAGGAATTATTTTGCTTCCATATTTGTTAACGAAAGATGATGTGGTTTTTCTCTTTTATTAAAATACTTCTTCCTCGATCCTGTTCTTTAGCTTTTTTATTGTAAAATTGGCACAGTCTGACAAGCAGACTGCTTACAATATGGTGTGCATATATTATACAGCTATATATAGAGGTTGCACTTTATTTTAGTTAGTTACATTTTATCACTATGATTAGACAATGCATATTTGGCCACTTTGCAATGCTTAAAAATGCTAACTTTAGTTGAGTGTTTTGCTGATTACTCCAAAAATGGAATTATTTAAATAACTGAATGTATTTTGTCCACCGGAAACGGTTAAACAGGATTTATTTTAAAGCAGGAGGAAAACAGAAATAATCCAAAATATCTGGTACTTCTAATTAAGCCACAAATTTAGATTCTATAGTAGAGACAGCCTGGGGCTCGAGCGAAGACTTCTAATCATAAGGTGAACAGATAGGAGGACCCTCCTCATGTCTGCCACACTATAGTGCTTTAAAATTCTACCCTTAATGATTTTCTATCAATCTAGTAACCATCTTGAAAAATTCTGTCAGTTTGGTAAGATATGCCCCACTATTCGAGAGTCTGTCATAACCCTTTCCCTTGTAGTGGTGGGCAGTGAGTCCTGTTAACAATTTCCTTTAATTAAGAGCAGGCCAATGGTTCCAATATCAAGCCAAAGAGGCAAGTGCTTTCACTGTTGTCACTCAAGCTGTATATTTCATCATAATGTGAATAGCCAAGCCCCTGAGTCAGCATGAACAAAGCCACTGAAGAAGTATATTAGGATTTTTAAATGGAAGAGATCTTGTTTGTGCAAAGGACACATTCAGTTAATAAAATGGAATACCTTAAAAATATTTATCTTCTGTAAATTCTTATTTGTGAGAAATGATTTTAAAAGATTATTGTATCTGTTACATTGGAATCCATTTGAGTTATTGAGCTCAGCTTGGGCTAGATAGAATGCATATTTGATAGAATTCAACATAAATTGTCGCTTTTATTATCTACGTTATACAAAAGATCGCATCACTCACCACACAATCACCTCGAACACAAATGTCATATCGCTCACTGTATGAACATCGTGTTCCATCATGGACTATCCTCTTCATGTAAACAATTTCCCTGGTTTCTTTTGATTCACAGGTGAGGAAGCACCTTTGTTCAGCTGTTGAGAGGTGTTGAGAGGTATTAATTATATTACTGACAAATTAACATTGCCATTTGATAGAGTGACTCAACTTTTCATGTCTTTGAAAATTCTTTTCTAATTGTAAGTGCAACTTAGATGATAACCTGAGCATCTTATCAATCTATCGTCGCTGCACCCACTTCAGCATCACTTTGATTGGTCTCTTGACAAAGAAGGCAGTCATCTGTGATCCCAAGGTTTAGTAGTGTGCCCTTTGTCTGCTTTTACATTTTGTGTTTTGCAAAGTTGCACTACTGAAATTGTTACTGACACATTAAGGAAAAACAACAATTTTTAAATTTGTAAGCACACTGGATATCCCAACTGCGCACATCCCGCTGGAATGAAGGTCTCAATACTGCTGTGACTTAATGACAGAAGGTGGCTACGGCCATCCGTTAGCTCTGTGTTTTGATACATGACCAGACTACCTGAGGAAACTGTGAGTGAAGAAGCGACAGGTATTTGTCACAACACTGATATTCATTCAAAACATTCTTTACACCTGTCTCCCAATGGCTTCAAGGTAAAGTCCCTAGGAAAGGTTATTGTCTTCAGTTTGCCCGGACAGTAATGTCCCAATGGGTATTCCTTGCACTTTGTAGAACCTTCCCCTAACTAAAGTGCACATATGCGATAATAATTGATGGATAAATTAGAAGGAAGTTAAGGAGAAATTTGTCATGCAAAAGGTGACAGAGGTGTGGAGGCAGAAACACTAATCACAAATAAAAAGTACACAGGTATGCACTTGAAGTACTGTAACCTACCAGGTTACAATGAAGCTGATGTTTCGAGTCTAGGTGACTCTTCATCAGAGTTATTAGCTTGCTCTCTCTCCATGGATGCTACCTGACCTGCTGTGATTTCCAGCATTTGTTGTTTTCAGTACAGATTCCAGCATCTGCAGTAATTTGTTCCTAGGTTTCTTTCCACTAAACTGTGTGACTGAATAGCAAACCAAAAGTTTCCACACGGACCTGAGCTATCATTCACTCATGGTCAACCCAAACAAATGCAAAGTTCCTCTGCTTGTAAGTGTATAGGTGCCCTGGAATGTCAAAGGCTGTGGGGTGACCTTATAGAGGTTTATAAAATCATGAGGGGCATAGTTAGGGTAAATAGCCAAGGTCTTTTTCCCAGGATGAATCCAAAACTAAAGGGCATAGGTTTAAGGTGAGAGGGGGGAAAGATTTAAAAGGGACCTAAGAGGCAACTTTTTCATGCAGAGGGTGGTGCGTGTATGGAATGAGCTGCCAGAAGAAGTGGTGGAGGCTGGTTCAATTACAACAAGTTTGGATGTGTGCATGAATAGGAAGAGCTTAGAGGATATGGGCCAAATGCTAGCAAATAGGACTAGATTAATTTAGGATATCTGGTCGACATGGACAAGTTGGACTGAAGGGGTCTGTTTCCATGCTGTACAACTCTATGACATATATGAAGCACATTGCTCCACAAGTGAAAAATCATGCGACTCTATGTACACCCTTGCATCTCTAGAGACACTAACACCATGGATCGGATTGAATATCATTCCTCTAATTGCTTCAATTAAAGGGCTGAAGACCATAAGCTGGAATGAGAACTGATCCATCAGCCAAACCATGATTTGTTTATGTCCATTATACATCCCAGTACGAATATTTCCACTTGTCTTTCACTTTGGAATATTTATCTTTCTTTATAAACTGCAATATAAAAATTGTTGGCTCTAGTTCACCTGTTATCCTGATTTTGGATGATGCACCAATAATTGAGTTGATGAGTAAACATGGCAATCAATTTCCATCAAACAGCATACCCAGACAAGAGAGAAGCAAAAGTTGCCATTGTTCATTCCACACATGCTACACTAACCACGTACCATATCTCAAACGACTCTAACACTACTTTGAGTATTCATGTATTGTACAATAGCAAATGCAACAGCATTGCCTACATTTATTTCAGTGTGAATTGGTTGTGAATGTGATTTATTTCACACAATATGCACAGTTACAAAGTTTGCAATTTACAGTGTTTGATACCTAGCACTTTTATTTATTCCCAATGATGGGCTTCATTAAGGTAACTGTTCAACAGTGCTTCAAAGAACTTAAAAATAATTCTGCAATGTGCCAGCATATTTCACATGTTGCAGACACATCCAGAATTAGAAACACATCACAAGCGTAAGTGCCCGGGGTTTCTTAGTCCTACTGGACCCCTGCCATTTCTTGGATTTTCTTACTGGCTTCCCGAGATGCAGGGCATTCATCCACTCCTTAACAAGGGCCCTACAACAGGACATCCTGTTTCCCTGGAGACAGTGTAGCACTGGAGGCGATTATACAGAGATGGTTAAGTAGGCCTTCCTTGGTCTGGATGGTAGCAGCTGGGGTGTGCCATCCAACACCTTCAAAATTTGAGGTTGGCTTTATTGGATTGCACAATCATACGAGTAGCAACATTCACCATCGTGTTTACTTTTTTTTTGATGACACAGGCTAAGTGGGCATGTGAAATGCAGTGATGCTGCCATTTAACAACTCCTTGCAAATTAAGTCCCTACAATATCTAACATGATTGATGCTGAAGAGCATTACTGGATACAAACAAAATTGCAGGTTTTTCAGTTCCACTTAACATGCAATTTTATGCAATTATTTTAGTACATGGAACACTATACTTAGTTGTGTTTATTATAAGCTGCCAAAGCTTTTTTTTTTCTAAACTTTGTGCACCTGCTAACTAGCAACTTTTCAGAAACAAAATGCCACAGCCAAGAATATTGAAAACTTTCTTACGGTCACGATGTTCATATGGCAACCACTGGTGCATGCTGTTATTATATTCAAAGTTGTTATTCCACTGCCTGCATTGCTGTTCTCTAAAGTCTTCAAAATGCTCTGGACAGTCTTCTGTGTTACAAAGCTGATACTCGTAGCTCTGTCCAGAGCACTCTCGCCCACCATTGGAAGGTCTAAGGGAGGAAATCAAACAAGTTAATAGTCAAGACATTTAAGGCTAGCTTACTGAGATCTACCCATAAAATATTATGTGTCATCAAACTTTCAAGATAAATGATCACAGATTTGGTTGTATAAATCAATTTTTTATTTATGCTACCTAAAGTGCAGTAACGCACAAGTCATCATCTTGTGGAAAATAAAAAGCCAAACGTACTTTAAAGTACCTTCAGTGTGATATACAGCGGGATGTTCTACTTATGGTTAAATAGTCAGGGTGTGAAAGGCCGTTATTGACTGGTAATATATTTTTACCCCAATCATAAAATGCAGTTTGGTACTAACAATCCATCTGATCTTTTTAAACTTTTAAATTTCAAGGTCTTCATGAAAGTCCTGGATAATTGCCATGATACATGCCTCACTGTCCTTTTAATGCCAGACAGTGCAATTGATTCAAACTTCAAGCTCTATTGACAAGCAGTTGCCGATTTCCCAGTTTAGTGTTTGAAAATTTGTTTTGGAGTTAGGCAGCAATGGGAATGGGAGTTGCAGGAAATCAATAAAGTGAAAGGATATGGTAGATGAATGGCATGATCAATAAGGCAGGGAGGAGATAGCAATGACATTTTGATGGGAAAGTGAAGTGAGGGAAATGATTTTAGGGATGACTTCTTGTTCAGTTTTATTAACCAATCACCCCACATGTGCCCAAGACCTGATGCCAGCTCATGATCAGAGCAGATCCATTTATGTATCCTACCTGCCTGCTCCAGCTCACATAGCCGACTGAACAAAAATCCCACCTTCCATTGAGAAATGAGAATGAAGAAAACATCTGGTTAAAATGAAACCCAGAAGATTGTCAGAATTAGGTTTTTTTTGATAAAGGGTCATTCGACTCAAAATTTTATCACCGTTTCTTTCTTCACAGATGCTGCTGAGTTTCTCCAGCACTTTCTATTTCTGTTTATTTCAGATCTTCGGCATCCATAGTTTTTTGTTTTATTTAACTAATTAAGGTGCTGTTATAAGGAAAAATAAATTCTTAAAGACAAAAAAAGAGAACCAGAAAAATAAAAAGTGGGAATCAGATTCTACACCAATAATACAAGCTTTTCTGTCCACGTTCTTCTGATTGGTTGGAGGGTTGAGTTGGTGGACAAGCCTGGCACAAGTGAGGTATGTGAAGGACTGGAGTACAAGATGCATGTGTGCCTGCCAAAGGGTGGATTTGGCAGTGCCAATGTGAGGTTGACAGAGGGGAAAGGCAGTAGCAAAGGTCCCTGAGCGGGGATTGGAGATAGGAATGGGTGGGGCAGGGAAGACAGCATGGGGAATGAGACAGGAAAGCATGGGAGTTATGGAATGGGAATAGGCATGGGAGGAGCCAAATGAGGAAGTGGCATGATGTAGCAAAAAACGGAGGGATGTGAGATGGGATGGGGATGGTGCGACTCGTACAAAATGAACAGGATGGGCATGTCATGAGAAGGGTGGCATGAAAAGGATGGTATGGATAGAATAGGATAGAGAGGAGGGAATGGCATGGAATGTGTTTGGCATGGAAGAAATGAGATGGAGGGGATGGTAGAGAGGCAGCATGGGAAGAATGAAATGGCATAGGAGGGACAGCATGACATTGAAGGGACAACATGGGAAGGAGGGCATGGTCTAGGAAGGAATGGCTTGGCAGGAAGGGCGACAAGGTGAAATTTGTGAAGTATATTAATTTTACCACAAATATTTTGCAGGCCTCTGCTGGTGTAAAGATCATACAAAGATGTCAGATTGAGAGCATTTACATTGACTGACTCTGAACAATGCCACACAAGACCCACTGATCTATTTTAGATGGGCATTAAATTTCTTAAAAATAAATCACTTCCTCCTAAACCCTTTCCTTCAATCTAAATCTTGAAATACTTCTTTTACAAAGCTAAACTCCAGATTAATGTCAACAATCACATACAATTGTTAAAATATATTAAAAGTTTACATTTAGCATACAATTGCAATAAGACCAGACACTGCTACTCATGTCATGCCAGCACATTATGATTCAATTTTCACTTCTGGGTTGTTTGTGTGAGGTGGGAGGAATCCCAACTCCATAAACCTGATATTTAAATGTAGCTGCCTGCACTTTCCTGTTTTGGTGTGTGGTGGAGGAGCTGAGAAGGCTGCCAGTTCCTGAGGGGGAGGATGCTGGGTAGAAAGCTTGCTTTGGTGTTTCAGCCTTGTTGCCAAAGCTAAAATAAAATAATCAAATATTCCTCCATTCCTCACACCTTTGTCAATCCCTCTCAACCCCACACACTCCCCATGCATCATCAATGCTACTTGTACCACCTAAAGGCCTCTATCCATCCCCACGGCCTCTCATAGCACTCATGCCAACTTAGTACCTACTTTCACTCACCATCCCATCCTCTTTCATCTACCAAGTTAACTCGCTGAGTATCCACACCCCCCATGCACACAGGGCAAAATTAAAATTCTATTACTTAAAGTTCTACATTGTGGCCTACACGGTATTAAGAAAAATACTGTCTTTAATGAAAAAACATATTTTAACAGGCATTGACTGATCTTGACACATCTAGACAGTCCTCTCAGGTCATAACATTCCCTAGAAACCGAACAGGTGCCAATATTCCTTGACAGTCCTTGCCAGGTCCTGATGGCTTATGATAAGGTGGACAGTTCCTAGGGATTTGTGCATCTTTTAGGTGTGCATCTTTTAGGCACACTCTTCTCTACAGTTAACGATCCTGAAGGATAAATGAGCCCTACCCCTGGCTCCCAAAGATCTGTGAAGCCCATCCCCAAAGAATTACCTGACCTTCCTTAAAGAAAGTCTGACCCACAAACCCAAAGTGTTCTGGGATTATATCCGCAGGGATGTCTCAGCTCTAGAAAAGGGTAGCCTGGCATTACAAAAGAATTGACTGAGTACAGACCAGCTGCAGCCTGGCCAAATCTCCACATTCTGGGTTCCAGACATTAGGGACTCCAAAATCCATTTTAAGTGAAAGCAACTGACTATTTAATTAACCAAGTGTCTTGTAAAGTGAGCATGTGCAAACAATGGACAATCTAAAATCCCACCCTGTGCAATTGAGAAATGCTGGATTTGGAGTGAAACTTAGGTTTCTCTATATGGTTATAATCTGACCCTGTATCTGTGCACTCAGTTTTAATGTGATTTTCCTGACAGATCTCTCAAGTTCTGACTTGCACCTTTAAGAATAGCTAGAGTCTTACCAATACACTTCATAGCACCACACCCTTCCAGTTGTTTATAACCCAATCTTTTCCAATGCCGATGCCATCTTGCAACACTCAATGGATCCCATTTTCTGCCAAAAATTTCTAAATCTCTACTGAAAAAATTGCACACTGTTCCTCAAATCTCAGGAAAAGACCCAGTTGACATTTGTAGGTTGTCAGTAATCCACTGGTATGACAGCCTTGAATGGATTCCTCTCCCTGAACAAAGCCCCATACCTGCCAAAAGAAAATGTAGTCTTTATAGGATCCATTGCAGACATCACTCCAAGGTATGGCTACAGCCTGTGACTGGTCTCTTTTCTGCTACATTCCACCCAAAAGAACAATTGATGGAAGAATGAGCCAGGCAGAGAAACAGGAAGGAATTAAAAAGGAGACCACCCAAAGAAAACAGCAATAGAGAAGCTGAAGGAAAGATGAACGAAAGAGCAGTAAAACAAAAACAACTGAGATAAGTGTAGGAGTGACTGGATAAGTCACTACAATTTCGGCATATTCAATGACCTAATTTTACAAATTGAATTTTTTGCTCAACTTATCTGTATTTTGCTACATTAAATCTGGCTGCAAACAAGGAGGAGCATTTTAGAAACTATTTTAAGAAAGAAAATTATATATATTTATATATTTCAGAGCAGCAATGCAGCTTCATTAACACAGCTGAAAATGCTTTCACTACAAACAAAGTATAAACATTTTCACTCAGAACGTCCACCACTTGTGAATAAGCTGATCTTAAATAACTAAAAAGATTTTAAAAGCCTTCAAAAGAATGAGTCATAATGGTATACAGCCAGTTTCTCGTCTTTTCTAAAATTAAGATCTCTTTTAAGATGTGATGTTCATGTACCGAAAGAAGCAGCAGCTTAACTATTTAAAAGCCTGCAAGTTGTGCATTTAGCTGAAATTCAAAGTGGAGATTAATTGGATCAAGGGTCTGTACTGTCTTCTGGATGGGATGGGGAGGGAACTCCATACAGCATGATGTCTTCTAAATTCATATGGACATTATTCTTTTCATAGAATCCCTACAGTGTGGAAACAGGCCCTTTGGCCCAACAAGTCACACCGACCCTCAGAGCATCCCACCCAGACACATCCCCCTACAACCCACCTAATCTACACATCCCTGAACACTATGGGCAATTTAGCATGGCCAATTCACCTAACCTGCACATCTTTGGACTGTAGGAGGTGACCAGAGCACCCGAAGAAAACCCACCCAGAAACAGGGAGAATGTGCAAACTCCACACAGACAGTCGCCCGAGGGTAGAATCGAACCCAGGTCCCCGGCACTGTGAGGCAGCAGTGCTAACCACTGAGGCACTGTGCTGCCCCTAAATTAGAGCAAAAAATTGCAGAAATTCAATTTGTGCTGAATCTATTGCGTAGCAGAATTTGCACTGATTTGGATGTCTTTGTATTACAAGCTAAGGGAAAATTCCAAGCCATTATATTCTTTATTTATCATGACCCAGACAAAGAAGATAAATAAATTATTTTATAATAAGGACTGGTTTAGTTCACAGCTAATTTTATTCTGTTTTCAATTGTTTTTTGTATTGTTCTCATTTCTTACTGATGGACATCAAATTTCTATGATTAAATCAAATGGTTTTAACTATAACAAAGCACATTCTTTTATTTATTTCATGCAGCACAATCTAAAGTTTATGCAAGACCAGATTATTTTACATTATAGCAGGACTTTGATTTTGCAGTAGTAGTAACAATGAAACTGTCAGTGCTTGCCATCTTTACTCCTTTGTAACACACTGCAACTTTTAGACACTGCAAGTTCTCAATTAAATGTGGAATTCAGACTTTCTGTCAGTGCTTCCATGATGTATCGGGTGTGCCGTTGAAGTCCCCACAGTATGCAATTAATCATAAATCTAATGAGAGAATCTGCCCTTTTATTCCATAACAGCAGTGTTAAAAAACATATAAAGTTATGTACAGAAAGCCTGACTTGGTTTTTCAATGCTGGATAATTTTGTAACTACTGCTAAAGACTCTCTCTGGCCGTGCAAAACTAATTTTAAATTGAGTAGTTTTCTGATGATGAATCCAAGTTAATTTTCTGTAGTCTTATGTTGAACTTTTTATTCCTTTATTTTTCTAATTTTTTTCCCATAAGAATTTGTACCTAGGTAGCTTCGTACCTAAGATGGCACCGCAAGTGGCAACTTATAAATTTTTCATTGTACTCATGTGAGTATATGTGACAATAAAGCTAATTCTAATTCTAATTTCAGCATTTTTATGGCTTAATCAATTATTTTGTTCCTTATAAAATTCATAAAATGTGAAGAAAAATATGTGCTTTTGCTTCCTAGCCTGTTTGCTGTGTGAGTATTGTACTCTGATTAGCTGTTTACCCTTCTTGATGATGCTATTGTAAATTAAGGTGAAATCTGTACCACAGAAATTGCTAGATTTTTATAGATAACACAGTGTGGAGCTGGAGGAACACAGCAGGCCAGGCAGCATCAGAAGAGCAGGAAAGCTGATGTTTCGGGTTGGGACCCTTCTTCAGAAATGGGGGAGGGGAAGGGAGCTCTGAAATAAATAGAGAGGGGGGTGCGGTGATAGCAGGTAGATAATGGAACGGATAGGGTGGGAGAGAAGACGGACAGGTCAAGGAGGCGTGGATGAAGCTAGTAACAGTGAGTGCAGATAGGTAGTGGTGGGGATTGGTCAGTGAGGTGGGAGGAGCGGATAGGTGGGAGGGAAGACGGACAGGTCACTGAGGCAGGGATGAGAGGGGGACGCTGGTCTTGGGATGAGGTCGGGGGTGGGGAGATTTTGAAGCTAATAAAGTCCACATTGAGACCATTGGATTGTAGGATTCCAAGGCGGAATATGAGGTGCCGTTTCAAAATCTCTAGCTTCAAAATCTCCCCACCCCCGACCTGATCCCAAGACCAGCACCCCCTCTCATCCCTGCCTCATTGACCTGTCCGTCTTCCCGCTCACCTATCTGCTCCTCCCACCCGACTGACCAATCCTCACCACTACCTACCTACACTCACCTTTACTAGCTTCATCCTCGCCTCCTTGACCTGTCCGTCTTCTCTCCCACCCTATCCGCTCCACTATCTACATGCTATCACTGTGCACCCCTCTCTCTTTATTTCAGAGACCCCTTCCCCCCCTCCATTTCTGAAGAAGGGTCCCGACCCGAAACATCAGCTTTCCTGCTCTTCTGATGCTCCCTGGCCTGCTGTGTTCCTCCAGCTCCACACTGTGTTATCTCAGACTCCAGCATCGGCAGTTCTTACTATCTTAGATTTTTATAGGCAGCTTTCTTCATGGTCAAAGGCAAGTGCTATCACTTTGCTGCTAACTGCAAAAATCAGGGCTGGCAAAATAATGAATCATTGAGTAGTTTTACTCTCGAGACTGGAGATAGTATCACAAATCATGTAAGATAACTAAACAAAAATCAGTCATCTATTTCACTTAATAATTTCTATTGCAAGTAGATTTTGAGCAGTATCGAAAAATGGCATTGGTGACTTTTACATAGAGGATATGTCATTATTACTGTAAATCAATAATTTCAATTTTGCATCAACCACACTCAATGATAAAATGTAACTAGTTATTTGTGTCAAAACCTACTTACAATGGGTTATCACACTGGCGTGTCCGAAAACGTACACCAGTTCCACAAGTTCGAGAGCAAGATCCAAACTTACTCCATGTCCCCCAGTTTCCATCGTGTCTTAATATGTCAGGAGTCAGCCAGATACAGTGACCTTTGAAGCAATGCTAGAAAGTAAAATGAAATTGCACAACTTAGACTTAAATTTAAATTTCCTCCCTTCGGAATATAACACTTTAAATGAATGTCACACCCTGGATGTGAACAACAACAATATCTACCACTAGCAAAATAAAGAGGACAATTGTATTAACAGAATGAAACTATAAAGTACTACATAAATTCCAAAGCACTTAAGTAGAAAAAGAATTATCAGTAAACAGGAGTCATTTCGAGGCAGTAATTTCACCTCATGGTTCAGATATTAGTTACAAACCTGAAGGTTTGCTATAACTCACAGAACTTGAGAATATTTGTGCCATGAAATTACTTTCCTCCTCTTGATATAATCGCACTGGATTATGTTAGTGATGAACAGCATAGAAATCTGTTCCTGACATTGCATTTTTGAGTTAAGATGCATCATTCTTACTGCATTACATAGCAGTGAAATTGCCCAAATCTACTATAAAAACTGAAAACAGTGCTAATGAATTGTTTGAACATTGGCCACAGCTATTCCCTGTTTCTTGTTATCCTGTCACTTGTTATCATTGTGTATTCATCATGCTGAACTTGCCTTCAAAGTTACATTTTCCAAACAGAACATCTGAAATTCTTTCATCATCCTAATGCATTGCAAAATGTCTGCTACTGACTGAGAAAAGTAAATAGGACTACACATAAAAGAAAAAAGTAGAGGTAGGTCGATACGACTGGATATATGACTTTACCTTGCCAGGAGCACACATTGTCCCATCCAGTGGAGGACCTTTCTTGGTTTTGCAGAAGTATGGATTGTCAGGATGACTACACCACAACTGCTTGCAGGGATCAAAGGTCCGAAACTGAAACCACAAATATAAGGGTGTTTAGGGAGAATGCATTTCTTCTAAATGCTGCCACACAAAATAAAATAGCACATTAAAAAGCATTGAAGATGATTTCATGACACTTATACCACATTTACCTATGAGTGATAATTTTTTTTTGTTAATCTAAGGATGCAAAATTCCTGGTACATTTTTTCTGAAAGTAAAAGACGGCATAATATTGAAAAAGACATTGACAGGAGGGCTTTCACATAACAGAAATAAAAATCTGCACAATTTTTGGATATTTAACATGTACATTCAGGATAATGTCATGGTCGATTTATTGCAGTGAGTCTTTCAAAGCTTTTTATATTCTCACTATAGTCAAATGCACTGTAATAATTGTTACTAATTGCAACTTTTATAAAGGGATTTAAATGCTGCTACAACAGGAGTAAAAATAGACAATCAAATCTTAATTTCTATCATCTGATTGTTATACCTGTAAGGTTTCATGGACTAAAATGTTTTTTTTAAAAAGAACGACACATGGATCTAAAATGGCTGCAATCGTCACCTGATCAGACACTGAGGCAAGATTCATGAAGCCTATGTTGAATAAACAAAAACATCTGCACTGAAATTACAATTTTTATCCAAAGCCATCAATACAAAACAACTGAGTTAATGCCAAGAAATTTATATTCCCTGTTTTATTCACACTTGTATGATAATTTAATATATTGGGAGATGAAATGCTTGCCTGTTGGTTGTCTGCTTGGAAATACAATGGAATTAGATCAAAAATACACCCTCAGTTATATTTCAACAGCTACTTTTGAGCAATGCAGTAGAGTAAAGGAAGCATGGATTTGTAAGCAAGAACTGGGCATTATTTTCTCTTTCTCTTTCAGGAATCACTAGAGTCAGGCAGGGTCTGAGGGAACTGGAAAGTGACTAATGTAACACCCCTGTTTAAGAAGGGAGGGAGGCAGAAGACAGGACACTATAGGCCGGTTACAAAAACAAAGTAGCTGGAAAAGCTCAGCAAGTCTGGCAGCATTTGTGAAGGAAAAAACAGAGTTAACGTTTCGGGTCGGTGACCCTTCCTCAGAACTATAGGCCGGTTAGCTTGACCTTGGTCGTTGGTGAGATTTTAGAGTCCATTATTAAGGATGACATTGTAGAATAATTGGAAGGACATGGTACAATAGGGCTGAGTCAGCACGGCTTCATCAAGAGGAGGTCATGCCTGACAAATCTGTTAGAATTCTTCGAGGAAGTAACAAGCAAGTTTGACAAAGGAGAGCCAGTGGACATGAACTATTTGGATTTCCAGAAGGCTTTTGACAAGGTGCCACACGGGAAGTTGACAAATAAGGTACCAGCCCACGGTAATAAGGGCAAGGTACTGACATGGATAGAGGATTGGCTGACCAACAAAAGGCAGAGAGTAGGGATAAAAGGATATTTTTCCAGGACAACAGCCTGTGACAACTGGAATGTATGGGGAAAGCACGGCAAAGAGGAGGAGATCGAGCCTCTGTAGGAAGTGCGGTCCCATATGGCTAAGCACTTCCGTAAGTCTGTAATGTTTGGCTTTTAGCTTTGTTTCTTTATTTTTCTACTTAATACTAAGAATTACTGTAACATTTAATTTTTAATTTTGTTCTTTCTTTCTACCCTGTTCTTATGATTCTGTACCTAGATACTTGTACCTAAGATGGCACCACTATGTCATCATTATACACTTTTCACTGCACTGTTCTACTTTTGTACTTAAGTATATGTGACAATAAAAAAATCTAAATCTAAATCTAAATCTAGTGGAGTTATGCAGGAGTCTGTTTTGGGACCACAACTATTCATGTTATACATTAATGATCTAGACAAAGGAACTGAAGGATTGTTGCTAAGTCTGCAGATGAAACAAAGATAGGTGTAGGGACAGCTAATGTTGAGGAAGCAGGGAGGCTGCTGAAAGATTTGGACAGGCTAGGAGATTGGGCAAAGAACTGGCAGATGAAATACAATGTGGGAAATAGTGAGGTTATGTACTTTGATACAAAGAATAGAGGCATAGACTATTTTCTAATTGGGGAAAGCTTTCAGAAATCTCAAGCATAAAGGGACTTGGGAGTCCGAGTTCAAGATTCTCTTAGGGATAACATGCAGGTTCAGTTGCTAGTTAGGAAGGAAAATGCAATGTTAGTATCCATTCCACCAGAGCTAGAATGCAAGTGCAGGGATGTACTGTTTAGACCGCATAAGATGCTGGTCAGACTGCATTTAGAATATTATCATAAATTCCCATTCAGACCATCAACTCTGCACCGACCCTCTGAAGAGCATCCCACCCAGATCCACCCCATCCCTGTAACCCCTCATTTGCCATGGTTAATCCAACTAACCCGCACCTCCCTGCACACTATAGGCAATTTAGCGTGGCCAATCCATTTAACCTGCAGATCTTTGGACCATGGAAGGAAGCTGGAACACCCAGCAGAAATCCACACAGACACGGAGAATGTGCAAACTCCACACAGACAGTCACCAAGTCTGGAATCGAACTGGGTCCCTGGTGCTGTAAAGCAGCGAGCTGGCCCTGAGCAGATATGAACAGTTTTGGGCACTGTATAGAAACATGGTAATTAGGAACGGGAGCAAGCAATTCAGCTCTTTGAGTCCATTCCACTATTTAACATGATCATGGCTGATCTTATCCTGGTCTCAACTCCACTTTCCTGCCTGTCCCCCAAAGTCCTTAATCCTGCTTTGCATCAGAAACATATCTATTACTTTCTAGAATCTGTTGATTGATTCTGCCTCCACTGCACTCTGGGGCACTGAGTTCCACAGATTCACAACCCTCTGAGAGAAGTAGTTTCTCCTCGTCTTACTTTGAAGCCTACCTCTTCTCACTGCATATCTATGACCTCTTCTTCGAGGTTGTCCCACAAGAGGGGGAGCATCTGTTCAACATCCACCTTATCAATCCCCTTTAGCATTTTATATAACTCAATCAGTTTCCCCACCCCCCTCATTCTTCTGAACTCTAGGTAGTACAAGCCAAAGCTATTCAACCGCTCCTCATACAACAGCCCTTTCATCCCTGGAATCAACCCAGTGAAGCTCCTGAGGAAGAATGTGCTGGTGTTTGGAGGGCTCCAGAGGAGGTTTACAAGAATGATCTCAGGGATGAAGGGCTTGTGATATGAGGAGGGGCTGAGGACTCTCGGTCTGTTCTCAAGGGGGATTGAGGGGGACTCTGATTGAAACTTACAGATTACTGAGAGGCCTGAATAGAGTGAACATGGATAAGATGTTTCCACTAGTAGGAAAGACTAGAACCTGAGGGCACAGCCTCAGAGTGAAGGGGCAACATTTTAGAATTGAGATGAGGAGGACTTTTTTTCAGTCAGAGGGTAGTTAATCTGTGGAACTCATTGCCACAGAGGGCTGTGGAGGCTTAGTCATTGAGTGTATTCAAGACAGAGATAGATAGGTTCTTGATTGGTAAGGGAATCAGGGGTTGCAGGGAGAAGACAGGAGAATGGGGTTGAGAAACATACCATTATTAATTGAATGGTGGAGCAGACTCAATGGGTTGAATCGCCTAATTCTGCTCCTATATCTTACAATCTTATGATTCCCTTATTCTCCTGGAAAGCAACACTCATGTAAAACACAAATTGGGGAAACAACCATTCATCGAGAACTCAAATTTATTTACAAACTTTGCCACTGCTGAGGATACCAGTTATCAATTAAACACCAGTGTTCTCAGATTATTTCACTTTATGGGCTCCAAAGAATTTTAAACTGCATAACCTTTATTCTCCCTGTCCATAATCTTCTTTTAAAACTTTTAAAAATGTGTTCATGGGACATGGCCTTTACTTGTTACCCACCTTTGATTGTCCTTGAATTGAGTAGCTGACTAGATCAGATCAGAGAACAGTTAAGAGTCAATCACACTGCGGTGAGTTTGGAGTTAGCTGTAGGCCAGACCAGGTGATGACAGCAGATTTCCTTCTCTAAAGGACATGAGTGATCCAAGCGAGATTTTTGAACAATACTTGCCACGGTCACCATGACCTAGACTAGCTTATTATCTGTATTTGTTTGTATGTTTGACATCATGATTTTATTATTTTCTGTTGGGGTTAGAAGATTGTAAAATTCCTTTTTCATTCACTGAAGTGAACTTTGGTAATTTGCTCTCTCATTTTCTAGCCAACTATGTTTTAATATAACTGTGATAGCTGTGTATCAAAGTATTTAAAATATTTATTGCAAATGATCAAGTTGACTTCATCTCTTCATCCGGTCATAACAATATTAAGTGCTTCTAATTTTCATTTTACAAAATTGACAGACGTAATTTTGAACTTCCTCCCAAAATGAGCTGCTGCAGTACTCTCACATCAAAATAAAGGTTTTGAAGAATTGGATAATTGCATAATAATGGCTTGGTACATCCTTTTAATTATAGTCAGATCATTAAGCTTATGCAGTGAATCATTTATGCTCATTTAAAGTGGGCACAGATAGAAAATTGCTGAAGGATATGAATGTCCAAAAATTGCCCAGCTGACGATTATACAGACTGCACTTTGCTGAATTTTATTCAAAATGAATTTTATATTGTGTACAAGTTTGTAATTAAGAGTCTTCACATTTATAGTCTTGTCAGAAATGCACACTTATAACAGTATAATTTGATGGTTTGGAAGTGAAATGAATTTGTTCCTTGTGACTAGGTATCTTTCAGACATATAATTGCAGTTTTGTAGTCTCTTGGTGCTGTTCCAATAACGGTTCCGATCCAGAAAGGCAATGGAAGTGGCTCACAATGCATATTCTCCAGAAAGGTGTGCACAACTTAGGTACAACCTTGAGCGCACTTGGTATTCTGGCCCTTGGTGGTTCCTACTTCTTAACAGGACATTGCGTAACGCAGGTACAATTTAAGTTCTGCTTATAGTTAATATATCCTTACAAATAGTTCAATGATAATGTACTAAAGTCTCAGAGTCAGGCACTTTGGTTTTCTTCAAAATGTACAGCACTGCTACAAAAGCATAGAGGTTGTATGTACATGCTTAGCAGTTCTGTATGTTTTACAGAAAGCAGGATGCAATGTTGGAAAAAGAATCAGCACCTGAATCTTGGGACAAGGCTGCCAATTGGACCAGAACAGTGTAATTTGTTTAGATTTGCTAATTACTAAGGAAATTCAATAACTTTCAACTCTACACTGAAAAAATTAACGCAATGTTTTTTTCATGAAATGTGCTGTGGAACATTTATGCTCTCATTATTAGAAACTGGAGCGTGATTGCTCAAAATTTCTTAATCTAGGAACCTCTACAATTAATCACTCAACTAACTGCATGCTATTATCCAAGATTATCTACTGCCCTAATAGATTTTATTGTGAGATGGTAAGAACTGCCAATGCAGGAGTCAGAGATGATACAGTGTGGAGCTGGAGGAGCACAGCAGGCCAGGCAGCATCAGAGGGGCAGGAAAGCTGACGTTTCAGGTCGGGACTCTTCTTCAGAAATGCTTCGCAGTGGGGTCATAACTCAATCAGAGATAGTAAGAGCTGCCGATGCTGGAGTCTGCAGAAGGGTCCCAATCCGAAACATCAACTTTCCTGCTCCTCTGATGCTGCCTGGCCTGCTGTGTTCCTCCAGCTCCACACTGTGTTACCAATGTTTTATTGTGATGGAATCTATGGTTTCAAATTTTGTATCTTTTCAGACCTTGATTGAGAAAGGAAACTGACACTTCCAGTTTCTAAGGAAACTAAATTGAAACTGAGATGGAACCAGGATTTCTGGGGAGACCGAAGCTTGTTGAAACCATATTTAAGAACCTAGATAGATGAGAGCTCAGGTGATGATCCCACTGTGCAGTATAGGGAGGCTGAAGAAGATGAAGCTAGATCCAGCAGCTATGAAGTGGCAAGTATGGAGTTGCTGAAGTTGTCTCTAGTACATGAAAATAACATCCACCCTCGAGACAATCATGAGCAGAGTTGACGAGATTTGGCAGATGTGTGTCATTTTTTTGGTGAAAACTCTATCCATGTTTGGATTGCTGTGGGCTGCTGTTGCCGAAGGATCAGACAAACCTTTACAAGGAACTGAAATTCTTTATGAATAAGACAAGTTTGAAGGACTTTGTGGCTGAGATTAATGACACATATGTTGGATGGGCTTCTGAGGTGATTTGTAAATCTGTCTTAGTTATATCTACCACTTAATGTTTGATTTATGGTTTGTAATTGACTACAGTTTGCTTGTATGTTCATGCTTTTCTTTGATTCTGGGTTTTATAGAATAGGTGGTTACCCAAGGTATTAGATATGGCTTGTTTTGTTTGAATCTCATACAGTAAAAAATATTTTGCATCAAACCATGGAATCTTGTGACTTCATTCTTTAAGTAAATAACTAGGATTTTGTTTCTTTTGTGAAGTTTCTGGTCTCAACTGAGATCATAACATTATAAATAAATTTTAGGAAAGGTTTTAAAAGTGAGCAACAATGTGGGGATTAAATCAAACCATATTGAAGTTTTAACATTGTACTTTCAGAAAATACTTGCGTAATGCCTCATTTTTCAAGCATTTTATGCCAGTTTGTGTAAGAAATTTCAAACTTTTTTGCAGCTTTTAAGCTGGAAAATATAAAGGTTTAAAATTTCCCTAGGTTCTCCACATTTGCCAATTTCATCTGGCCTGTAAATGGAGGAAAATTTCAAGAAACTGGGTTAAATAGATGACATGCAACTTGGATACCACTACAATTTTACTGATTTGAATATACTGACTAGAACAAGACAACATAAATAACAGTAACTGGCAAGATTCTCAGAATTGCTTTGGCTTGTTCATCCTAATTCAGGGCTTCAGATTATTTTACCATTTCATGCAGTTGTGTTTATAAATGGTATATACAGATATTGATAAGTTTATAGAGCTTTACAAGTGGCTTCCTTCATTCTTTTGTTAGCAATAGATCATTCAGGGTTCTGCATAAGTTGCAGTAGGAAAGTAGCACCCATAGAAATTCTACACCAAATATGGAGTGCATCTGATGCATGCTGTATAGTTCTGAAAGAGCTTTGATCACACTTACTGCTGTGCACATCATATAGCCCATTCCAAAGTCAAAGCGACATTGTTCATTCATAGAGTAGTTGATGCCTGGAAGTTGTGGTAACAATGGCCAGTCATGTTCAAATGGATCATCACGTAGACAGTCATATGAACTGCAATGAAAAAATATTTTTAAACAATTTGTTCTCAAAGTTATTGCCCAGCCAGAAGATGTAAAATATCTGAGTAAAATTTTATGATTTAGACCCTAAGTAATAATGATAGCATGGCCAGCATTCTTCACTTCCTGCCCATCCTCACTGTAATCCTAGGTCAGGTCATCACATGCACAATGCCAGCTCCCGGGAGGATCCTATTTGCCAGTGGAAGGCAGTGATTGTAACAAAGGCAGATTCCAGTGGCGCTACAGAGTGGGCAAGGTTTACAGGCCTTGAGAACCTGAACTGCATATTACTTCTAGGCCATGGTAGGCTATGTGATTTACTGAGAAAAGTATTCCATCTGCTCCAGCACTACCCTAGGGGTTCCTGTCAGTCCCCTTCACTGAGCAGGCCAAAACAATAGCTCAACATACCACAATCAATTTAATATACACTAAGCAAGGTAAGGTTTGCATTTTCCATGACACCATTAAGAAATGTAACAGGCTGGGATGTCTAACTGCCATGATGTTCCTGCTGTGGTCCTGATCCATTCTCTGAACAAGCTGAATTATAATCATGGGCACAGGGTGCCAACAGTAAAGCTACCTGCCATTGGAAGATTGCCATGGGGGCTATCAATAGTGAAATGTAATAGCTTCAAAAGGTATACACTTACAATGGTTTTATATTAAAGTGGAGTCTTTTTGTCTTGATAGTCAAATTTTGGACTCAGTGGAAGAACCCAATGTTGGCTAAGGAGCTGGGTCAACAAATATTAATCCAATAATTTGACTGGCCAACAGATTACATTTCAACTTTAATTTCTCATTCTTATTTTCAAATTGCAACACTGCCTCAGACTGTCGGAAATTTGTAAACATCTCCTCCAATATCTCAGTGCTCCTGCAATCCTAGCCTCTTATGCCTCTGAACAGTAGTTTCTCCACCATTGGTGGTCACACTTTCAGCATTAGCCTCTAAGGTCCAGAATTCTGTTCTTGAATGTCTTGGCATCTCTATTGTCTCCTCATTTAAGTCATTCCTTAAAACCTGTCTCTGACCAAAGTTTGGATCATGTGCCTTTTATGCTTTTGTATGGCTTTTAAGCCCCCTTAAACCATCGCAGTTCCTGGGCTCATAGTGCTCCCCAAAGGTATTAAGTAGGGAATTACAGGGTATGGTCCAGCCAATTAAGAAAGAACAGTAGTAAAATGCATGTGAAAGCTTCCTGTGTTTTTGCATCATTTTCCTTTCTCTCTATGATCTCTTTCTGGGAACAAAGATAAAAAGGAAAAACGGATGCTAGCGCTTGTTTCTCTGCCAGAAGGTAACATTATTCTGAAGGTAATGATAGAGAACAGGAAAGCAACGCTAACCATAACGCAAATCACTCTGAAATATTTTTGAACACAGTAAACACACATAACATTTGTTTCAAAAAGAACATTGTGAGTAATGCTGGGCTAGACTTACTGAACTCTCTATATTTGACTGGAGGAAGGTCATACATCTGCTACTTTATCCATTGCGAGACCACAACAACCTTCCACTTACTGTAAGTATCGGCTCAGCTCCTGTTGACTACAACGGGACCAATGGAAACGATGGAATGCAGCTTGAACCAGTGGTGCCATGATACTTCCCATTTTGATCTCATCGCCACAGTGGTTGCCTTGGCCATCATGTTCCATGCCTAGCCTAGTAGATAGGAAAATACAAAGTTAGGCGATCACTACAATAGAATAAAAAGATGGACTTGTACCATTGTTTTAAGTTCACTGTATGGCCCAGATTTCTGCCAGTTGGAGAGCTCTTCACTGTGGCAAAAATGTTAGAAATAGCCCAAAATCACAAGTCCCTCCCCCAAATACACCATTTTTGCAGGGGTGGAAAGCAGTCAGTGTGGGCATCACACATTCACGTTTCACGGAGATGGCTAGCATTAAAGTGGTCATTTGTCACCTTTTAAATCCCAGTTTAGAAACTTAGCAGCAAAGAATTTAAAGCGAACACGACAGACCAATTCAGAGCAATGTGTATCTTTTGGAAAGGCAGAATATCGCTTTGGAAAGCTACGCTACCCACTCCAGTGATTATGATCCCAGGACGTCTTGGGGGTTGGGGGTCAGGCATCCTTTGGAGGGGGCCCAGGTCCCCTTGAAAAAATGTATCCCACTTCTTGTCAAGTTTTAACAGGTTTGATATGTTTGAGAGGTCTTCCCACACCACACCCCAAACCCCCTCCCAACAAAGGGTACTTTTTCTACTCCTAGGGTAACAGGCATCCATTGGTGAGGGCCCGCATCCTCGTTTGTGGGTTGGCAAGGGGTTGAAAAGTACCCTTTGTTGGGAGAGGGTTGGGGGGGGTGGTGGAGAAAAACCCCTCAAACATATTCTTGACAAGTTAAAACTTGTCAAGAAGTGACAATATTTTTTCAAACCTATCAAGAGCTGTCAAACCTGTCAAGGCCTGTCAAGAACCCGTTATTGTCAAGTGTCAAGTAGTCTCAAGATCTGCCAAAATCTGAATGTGTTCCTCTCAACTAAGAGCTGTCTATGATAATGAACTTTTATTTTTTTTCCCTGTGTGTATGGGAATCTGTGGATACTAGGTGAGTTGGCATGGTAGGTGAAAGGGATGGGTGCCTGGCTTGGATCAGGCATGAAGTTGGTGTGCAGGTTTAAGGGCCGTGGGGTATGACAAGATGGACATAGAATGCAATAGGAGCCATGGGTATGAGTAGATGGGCATAGTAGGACTGTGGGCCGTAGGGGATAAGTAGAGGACATTAAATGGCATGGATGGAACATGGAAAGGGATTGGATTTCGGGGGTGGGAGGGAAGGTGCGGGGTTGTGAGCAGTCAGAAATTGAGGAATGATTTATATTGTATTGTTTTGTTTTAATTGTTGGATTGTGCTGTACTGAGGCAGGTTTTGCACTCAGCCTGCCTCAGTAACAGGCAGCCTCTGCAGTTCTCCTTGGGTAGGTCTGGCCCAATTCTGAATGCAGCCCACATCCCCGCAGCCCTCCCCCACCACCAGGCTGACTGAAAATGGGAGAGTGCGAACAACCACTTTTAAATGTCAGATTCGTACAGCTTAAAATTCTTCACCTCAGTGCTCCTGACCGAAGAATTAAAAATGGGGCTTGTGTGTTCAATCACGAGATAAAGTTAAGTACCCATCATTAAAACAGTCACTGCAAAGTTGAAGTGAAGACATGACTATTGGCTGAATCTTCTGTTTTTTTTGGCTAAGTGCAAATTGCATTGAGCTTTCTGGAGGGATTCTCACAAAGAGACCTCATGGAATTTCTCACCCTATCATATTAAATGCACATCATTAACTACCTACCCATCCCCTAAGGCATTCCTCATGTCCAATTCCATCCCCATCCTACTATTCCCAGAGCAACAGGTATCTGTCCTATAAATGTGCAAAAAGAAAGCCTAATCCTTGTCTGAAACCCCTTCCTGAAAGTGGGACATTTGCCTATATATTTGGCCTAACCAGCTGTTATCAAATGGCCATTAGAAATCACAACCAAATAAAATACTTAATATAAAGCCTAGAAGATCATTTCACAGCAATCCTGAATATCACTGCTGATTGTACATGGATGAACAATCTTCCCCTAACTGACCCCGTCAGGATTGCCTGCCCTGAAGCCCAAGAGCTACCAGACATAGTGCTGCCAGCGAGACAGGTGACTCACCTTTATCCTCATGGAGACAACAAAAGTTTCTGGATTCTCCTATACGTCAGCCTGGCTCACATCTGAGTCGGGAAATCATGGGTTAAAACTCTACTCTGGACACTTAGGAATATAATCCACTCTGATTATGTATGCTGTACTGAGGGAATGCTGCTGGACAGGTCGTAATACAGACAAGTTGTGAAAGCAAAACCCTGCCAGTCCTCACAGGAGAATGAGAATGATCTCATAGCGTGATTCAAAGAACAGGGGAGTGTTCCAGTGCCCCAGTCAATATTTATCTCTCAACTAAAGTCACTAAACTGACAGGTCATCATCTGATTGCTGTTTGTAGGCCTTTGCTATGTGCAAGTTGGGTGCTACACTTTTTTCTAAACATTAAAAGTATTTTGATGCACTCAGAGTTTGGCCTGAATTATTAGCTCTGTTTTCTCTCTCTATGGATGCTGCACGATTTCCTGTGTCTGTTCAGCATTTTTCATTTTTATATCAAAAAGGACTTAATTGCTGTAAAGTGTTTTAGGGACATCTTGGGTGGTGCTATATAAATGATAATCGTTTCCTTCAAGCAACTGTAATGTGGGAGATGAGATGGGAGTGTGAAATATACTGATCTAAGCAACAGTTTGATCTATATGTGAGGTCCATGTTAGCTGATATTTAAACTTTAGCCAGAATCAGCAACAAGTCTAACAGTTGGTATGTTGTAATTTGGCTGCAAGGGTGCTCGCTGCAGATAGCAAAATTCTGCTACTAGAACATAGAACATAGAACATAGAACATTACAGCGCAGTACAGGCCCTTCGGCCCTCGATGTTGCGCCGACCTGTGAAACCAATCTGAAGCCCATCTAACCTAAACTATTCCATTATCATCCATATGTTTATCCAATGACCATTTAAATGCCCTTAAAGTGGACGAGTCTACTATTTTTGCAGGCAGGGCATTCCACGCCCTTACTACTCTCTGAGTAAAGAACCTACCTCTGACATCTGTCCTATATCTATCACCCCTCAATTTAAAGCTATGTCCCCTTGTGCTAGCCATCACCATCCGAGGAAAAAGGCTCCCACTGTCCACCCTATCTAATCCTCTGATCATCTTGTATGTCTCTATCAAGTCACCTCTTAACCTTCTTCTCTCTAACGAAAACAGCCTCAAGACCCTCAGCCTTTCCTCATAAGACCTTCCCTCCATACCAGGCAACATCCTGGTAAATCTCCTCTGCACCCTTTCCAATGCTTCCACATCCTTCCTATAATGCGGTGACCAGAACTGTACGCAATACTCCAAGTGCGGCCGCACCAGAGTTTTGTACAGCTGCAACATGACCTTGTGGCTCCGAAACTCAATCCCTCTAACAATAAAACCTAACATACTGTACGCCTTCTTAACAACGCTATCAACCTGGGTGGCAACTTTCAGTGGTCTATGCACATGGACACCGAGATCTTTCTGCTCATCCACACTACCAAGAATCTTACCATTAGCCCAGTACTCTGTATTCCTGTTATTCCTTCCAAAGTGAATCACCTCACACTTTTCCGCATTAAACTCCATTTGCCACCTCTCAGCCCAGCTCTGCAGCTTATCTATGTCCCTCTGTAACCTGCAACATCCTTCCGCACTATCCACAACTCCACCAACTTTGGTGTCATCCGCAAATTTACTAACCCTTTGGTGTCATCCGCAAATTTACTAGCATCCTGCTGACCCACAGGAAGCTGAACCCATTGGACTTGGCACTGTCAGTATGCCAAGGGTACTGCAAACACTGAAAAATACATTGCTTCTACCACATCATATATTTGCATTCCAGTACAACTTACTTCCTATTTTAAATGGAATTGTCGGAGAAAAAGAAACCCACATTAGTATTGTGTTCTGGGCTTTTAAATATTTCTGTATGCAACTTAGTGGGTTCTTAGCAATGAGTTTCAACAAGTCTCTGAATCAGACATGCTCAAAGACTGGTGGGTTCTAGTTCATGGGCACTGGCACCAGCACTGGGGTAAGTGGGATCTGTGTCGATGGGACAGACTCCACCTGAACTTGTAAACCAGATAACTAGGGGAGTAGACAGGATTTCAAACTAAATGGTGGGGCAAATGATCAAATTTGAGAGATGTGATAAATCAAAGAATAAAGTCAAGGCCAATGAGAAAGGTAGAGTAAACAGTCTCCTGTCAATGGAAGATACATCAACGACAACATTCAACATCACTTCCAGTGTGCCAGCGCAACATTTGGCTGCTTTAAAAACTAGGAATTTGATGACAAAGACCTCAAACCTGGAAACAAGCTTATGGTCTATTTGGTAGTAGTTCTATCTGCCCTTCTTCTTGTGTCAGAGACATGAGCAACGTACTGTAGACACCTCAAATCCCTAAATAAATATCACCAGGATGCTTCTGCAAAATCCCACAAATTCAATGGCAGGTCAGTCACATTAATATCAGTACCCTCTCTCAGGCCAATATCCTCAATATTAAGACAATGGTTAGAGTCATCAGCTGCATTGGACAGGTTTCATCACCCAAGTATCTGAAACTTCCTAAAGAAGCTTTCTACTCGAAGCCTCATCAGGGCAAATAGTTATCAGGAAGGCACAGGAAAAATTTCAAGGACATCCTCAAAGCCTCCTAAAAGATTTAATACCTCCATGAACTCATGGGACTCTCTTGCCCCAAAACACTCAAACTGGAATAGAAGCATCCACAAAGAAGCTAACCATTTCACGTTCCTCTGTTCCTCCCTGGCGGAGGCCTATTGCAAACAGCAGGAGGAGCATGCAGAAACCAACCTCCTCTTCAAACACCACCTACCCCATCTTTGTGGATGCAACATTGGATTAATTAGTCATCTCGGGACCTATAACTCCAGAGTGGAGGAAAATCACCTTTGATCCTGAGGGGCTGCCTAAAACGAATACAACAACAGTGGACTAGAATTTTGCAGCATTACACACCTTCTCACCAACTTTACACCCCACCACCGCTGCTGAAATCTTTACCTATTTTCTTGTTATTTCTGCACTTAAGTTTTCAATACTGCCCTACCAGCTGTCCACGCTCCCAGACTTCTCAAAATCTCACTGCTCATATCCTGTCTACCATCCAGTCCTATTTCCTCATTAATCCCTGCCTGTTGACCTAAACTGGCTCTCCGTCCATGATACATTAAAATCTAAATAATTAATCTTATTTCCCAATCTACTTTTGCAAATTCTTTCAGTCTTGCTTCTTCGTTCACCTTCTGTAGTCCCTTGCTTCTGGCCTTTTATACAATCCCGATCCTTGACAGCGAAGATTGATAAAAGAGTCTGTAACTCAGTCCCACTTTTTGCAACTACCTACAAACCCTCTCTGCTTCTTTCGACACTCTGATCCACCTTTAAGAATTATCACAACTTTGTTCGTTCATTCATTCATTCTTTCTTCCTTTCTTCTTTCCCAACTCTCCCTTCATGACTCAAGATTGGCTCCTTTACATTTTTTTCCTTGAGTAAGTATTATTCAATGTCTTTCGGCATAAAAGTTGCTATATGATGCCTGGTGTTCTAATATTTAAAGCAATGTTCTTCTTGATAGTATCATGTGCTTTTGTGCTTTTCAAGTTTGTATTTGAACCATAAGATTTGACACTTACACATGACCGGTTTCATGAGCAACAACAAATGCAGATGAAAAGCCATCTTCATGGTTCAGAGTGCAACTTCGGACTGGATGGCACATACCTGTAACTGGCGCATAACCTACAACAGACAGAAAATTATCGGAGAAGAATGCATTTAAATAACATGTAAACAATATTGAAAAATATCAATTGTGTTTTTTTCTTATTTCAGCATTGATAAATAAGACATTATTATTAAACATACACACAGAAATGTATGCGTTAACATAGTTATCAGCATCATGTACAATTTATATTGTCTAAAGACTAATCATTCTTGATTCTACTTTAATCTGTAAAATGATATATCTAACCTCTGCCAAAACTAAAGACTAAAGCAAGCAAAACCCATTATTTCAAATCCTATTGGTAAACCAACTAATGAGGCAGATGTTCTAGACAGCTTAAAAATTATAAGATAACCATAATGTATATTATGCTTATCTGTTACGAAAACACTAAATACTAAAATCTAGCATTTAATACTGGTTTCAGAAAATTACTATGAATAAAAGATGCTAAAATTCCATGAATTCATTCCATTTTTACCATTTACTTCCATTGTGTCCCATTTTGAAGAAACGTAAGTAGCCTTATGATTTATACCAATTATTGTTCAATACTTTAGGGGAGACGATGGCCTAGTGGTATTATCGCTGGACTGTTAATCCAGAGACCCAGATAATGTTCTGGGGACCCAGGTTCACATCCTGCCATGGCAGATGGTGGAATTTGAATTCAATAAATATCTGGAATTAAGAATCTAATGATGACTGTGAATCCATTGTCGATTGTCAGAAAAACCTATCTGGTTCACTAATATCCTTTAGGGAAGAAACTGCCATCCTTACCTGGTCTGGCCTACATGTGACTCCAGACCCACAGCAATGTGGTTGACTCTGAACTGCCCTCTGGGCAATTAGGGATAGGCAATAAATGCTGCCTAGCCAGCGATGCCCTCATCCCGTGAATGAATAAAGAAAACAAAAGAAAAAAACTACCAGACAGTGGTATAGTATTTGGAGTTGTTAAGCAAAAGTATTGCAATCTAGAAAGTCAATGGTAATGTGTAGGGATAAAATGGACATCAAAGTGTCCAACATGATGATTGGCTTGCAAGCACATATTTGGAGTCAGAAGTCACCATCTTCGAATAATCCAGCATAAATCCACCAAATTCATGTTACAATCTGGTTAGAGATAAATGACGTTTTGCTTAAAGTTGGTGAAGTTTAAGGTCTCGTACTTTCTAGGAGAATAAAGTTGCATGATCGCACAGTTTTGAACAAACAAAATAAAACTGACTGTACAAAGTTAGAATAATAATATAATCTACGATATAATGCAATTTATACTCTAACATTCAGAATGAACGTGAGGCAGACAAACTGTAGCTGAACATCCCAGAGAACACATCAATTAGCAGATGTGGTCAAGACAGATTCCACAGAATTCTCAGCAACATGCCAAGACTTTATTGACACTGTCACCAAATCTCATTCAAACTTTCACAAGGCTGCCAATATTTCATTTATGAAGATCTAGCTTTGGAACTCATTCAACAACAACTGCTCATTTCCTGGTAGGTTTATTTTACTTCCAAGGCTGCGTTCCCAAAATTCCTGAGACCACTTGCAAGTCCCCAAATACTGCTACAATTTCAGCTTTTTACCAGCCTCCATTAAGCAGGTGCTGCACCTGAAATTTCCTGAGCTCCCATCACCAGCACATCATGGTCCTTCATTTCAGTTGAACTGACCTCAAGAATGTATCCCACTAGGCTTCACAAGACTGTACTCCATCATGTAAATTCCAGCTCTCTAGCTGTTCTGTATGAACATTACTGCCTATGGGCTATCATTTGCTCCAACAACCAGCTATCATCAGCAGGTGGCTACATGGAACCAACTTCTCTGACTTTCTCTCATTAACAACAGACTGAGCCAACTGCTGATCATTGACCCTTGAACTGATTTGAGCGACCTATTGAAACACATCAAGGGACTTCTTCCCTTGGTACTCAGCAGAATCAAATGGAACTACCAGTGGAACATCCTGTGCTTGTGTTAGAATTTATTCAAATTGCTGGCTGTTGCCATATCTATATAGCCATCAAAACAGACATTTGTCCCTTAGCATTTTTATTGCCTGCTTTACAAATGCCTGCTTGACCTGAATACATCTGGCTGCAATTAGGAAGATCAGATCTATATGCAGCCTAACCAGCAGACACCATCTAAAAAAGCAAGTCTAAAAAGTACTTAGCTAAGTGTTGAGTTAAAAGATGCAGGACGACATTATTACAACAGTTGACTGCTGACTACTGCTAACCAACGCCCTCTTGATCATTGCCTTGCTCTCCCACTTCCCTCAACCTCCCTCCAAACACAGTTTTGATCCCACTTCTCCTGATTGCCTCTACTCCTGATTGTCTTCCCCTGCTAGGCACCCACAACTCCCTTCCAATCAGCCTCTCCTCTTGTATGGGGCAGTGTTGCTGTCAGTAGCCCAAACGTATATTGAGTTTTGTGGGTAAGCTGCTATGGATGCCCAGCATGTAACTGCAGCTCATCAGTCTGAGCTAAGTGAGACCTGGAGCCCAATCTTCAATGGGTCCACCTTGGGCTGCACGTCCCCATATCATCCTGGAATTTTAAAACATCGGACTGGAAAATAGCATGCCAGTTACTATGAAATGCATTCCCTTGATCATTTATCAAAAAGTATGTAAGAGAACAGGACAAAACCATGCACCCAACCTGAATAGAATACAGTACCTTGCATTCCTGATGGTCCAAAGTCCTGCCTTGTTAGAAAGATGGCATGGTCATGATATTCTGCATGGCTTGTATCAGACTTCTGCTGGGAGTAAGCCCATCGGCACACATTCTCCAAACTTTGTGAGGGGTTCCCAATTTCAATTAAAGTAACAGACTAAGAAAGGAAACAATTCTCTTTAAATTTTAGCGCAATTTCAACTGACTACAGTGCAAGAGTTAGAACATGCTTCAAGCGAGAGATTGTTGAATATGTGGCATTATTTTCTGAACTAATAGCAATTTGCCTTCCATTTTCACTGATTTTTAAAATTTAATTTAAAAACGCTTTGTATATTTACTATTTCCCATAGTAATATTCACACACAACATTTTCCTTTAATTGTGTGCGCCTTCCTTTGTGTGACTGCGAATCTGCTTGCCTCCCACTTTCCATCACTTGCTGTCTTCTTTCTGGCGCTGATTGGTGTTCCAGTCTGCCTGTCTCTTTCTCACACTCGGTATGATTCTCAGACATTTTGGCACTGAAGTTACACTGTGGAATACTTGAACTAGATTACTGAAGGATTTCTCTGAATGCTGTTCTTGTTTCCAAGGAGGCTTCGAACCACTTAAAAGAAATGGGGTTAATTTTTGTCGTCACTTACTTAGGCATGCATTTGGACAAGCAGACAGCCTGCCCGTAGAACTTATCCAACTTTCAGTCCATTGAAATTGAGCTCCCGGTGCAGAACCTCACATACCAGATGTGGATTTCAAAATGTTGATTTTTTTTTGTAACTATTCAATTATTGAATTGTAACATTCTCACACATTGCGTGCCTGAATCTCTCACATGCACTTCTCAGCAAAACTTTCACTCGTAGGCTAGAGTTAGAAAATTTCATTTGAATCGTTAATGTTTTAAAAACTGCTTTAAACACATGAGTTGGAGTTGCAAGACGCTCGCCACTTTTCTTTTACAAGAGCAGGCTCTGCAGCACAAGTGGTTTTCGCACTGAGGCCACCCAGAGTGTTGTGGTGGGATGGGGTGGATGTTTTGGTGGCAGGATGGAAGGAAGCTATTAACAGAAAGCCCACGTAAAGAGTTGGGCCGTGAACACATTTTGGATGTTTGTACCTGCTCACATCAGAGGAGGCCGGGCAACATGAAAACAACCTGTAAGTTTGTGGAAAGGGCATTTCCTTGGCTCTTTTGCCAAGCCATGGCATTAGAATGCCATTTTCCTAACCAACTGGAGCAGGTAGCCCTGCTCACAGCCAACCCAGGATTCTTGGAGCCTCGGTACTTAAAGGGATCCTGGTGAGAGACAAAAATGGAACCATTTTACAATTAGTCAGTGAGAGACAGAAACTTGAATGATGGAATCTCAATGCAGGAAGGACACTGTTGCTCCCTACATATATCCCTTCCTGGAGATCTTATTGCAGGATATAAGAGTTCACAGGGAAATTTTGTAAAGAAGTTTACCTCAGAGGCATAGCTGGAGGTGAATGAGGAACTGAGCAGTAGGAGTATAGCCTCTTGCTCGAGCTTTAGAGTCTATGACTATACCACAGAGGTTCAATAACCTCACTAAGTAAGTGAATGGCATTCCACATTCAAGTGATTGTTTAAATGTTCTGACATCACTAGCTTTCTCCTGCCCGGCATTCCTCAGACCAACACATCTTTCAATTCCATCCATTCTTTCTCAAGGCACCTCCTCACAAGCCCATTTGATCAGCCACCATCGGACACTTGTCTTCTTCTTATTGTTATTTCACATCCATCCCTCAAAGTGAGTGATCTTCCACAAATGTCAGACTATTCTCTCAAAGCATATCAGTTCTTACACCACTGCGTCTCCTATATTACCTTGCAGAATTGCACCTCACAAAACACCAGGGAAAGACAGAGAATCAGGAGTGGCTCTCCAGTCAGAGCTACCCTGATCATTCTGGATGAATATGCATCGAAAATGAGCAGAGCTTTAGAATCTATGACCATTGGCGATGAAGTGGTGGAGGGCTGGGGAACACAGGGTTCTTATAGAGATAGTAGGAACTGCAGATGCTGGAGAATCTGAGATAACAAGGTGTAGAGCTGGATGAACACAGCAGGCCTGAAGAAGGGTGTAGGCCCGAAACGTCAGTCTTCCTGCTCCTCTGATGCTGCTTGGCCTGCTGTGTTCATCCAGCTCTACACCTTGTTATCACAGGGTTCTTACAATTAGCTGGTGACAGGATTTATACTTCATGGCCACTTGACAACACTCACTCATGTTGGCTTGAAAGCAATAGCCACTGAAATATGATGATATTCAAAATGTTGTTTTGAAACCCATTTACTTTGTTCTAATTCACGTCATAGAGTCATAAAACATGGATCCAGCTCATCCATGCTGACCAAGTTTCCCAAACTAAACTTGTCCCACTTGCCTGCATTTGGCCATATCTATGCCTTTCCTATTCATGTACCTATCCAAATGTCTTTTAAACATTGTAACTGTACTTACATCTACCACTTCATCTGGCAATTCATTCCAAATACGAACCACTCTCTGTGTGAAAAAGATGCCCCTAAGGTCCCTTTTAAATCTTTTGCCTCTTACCTTAAAAATATGCCTCCTTGTTTTGAACTCCCCCACCCTAGGGAAAAGACCTTTGCTATTCACCTTATCTACTCCCCTCATGATTTTATAAATCTGTATAAGGTCAACCCTCAACTTCCTACACTCTTAGTGAAAAAAGTTCCAGCCTATTTTTATAAATGAAACCACCAATTCCCATCAACATCCTAGTAAATCTCTTCAGAGCCCTCTCCAGTTTAATAATATCCTTCCTATAACAGGGTGACCAGACTGTACACAATACTCCAAAAGTGGCCTCGCCCTGTCGACCTGTGATGCAACTTTCAAAGAAGTGTGTAGCTGAACCCTTAGGTTTCTTTTTCAACAACACTACTCGGGCCTCTACCATTAATTGTATAAGTCCTGCCCTTGTTCATCATTTTACCCAAAATGCAATACCTCACATTTGTCCAAATTAAACTATCTGCCACTCCTCAACCACTAGCCCAATTGTTCAAGATCCCTTTGTAATCTTAGATAACCTTCTTCACTATTGACTATACCACCAATCTTGGTGTCATCCACAAACTTACTAACTATGCCTCTGAAATTCTCATCCAAATCATTTATATGAATGACAGACAACAGTGGACCTAGCCATCAATCCCTGCAGAACACAGCTGATCACAGGGGTCCAGTCCGAAAAACAACTCTCCTCCATCACCCTCTGTCTCCTACAGTCAAGCCAATTTTGTATCCAATTGGCTAGCTCTCCCTGAATCCCATGTGACCTAACTTTACTAATCAATCTACCGTGTGGGACCTTATCAAAGGCTTTAGTAAAGTCTATGTAGACAACACCTATGGCTTTGCCTTCATCAGTCTTTTTTTTACTACATCCTCAAAAATCTCCAGCAAGTTTGTGAGACATGATTTCCCAAGCCCCAAACCATGCTGGCTATCACTAATCAGTCCTTGCCTCTCCAAATTCTCTCTCAGAACCCCCTCCAACAACTTCCCCACCACTGACTTCAGACTCACCACAGGTACTTCAGGAATTATTCAAGAGCTGGGGTTGGAGCAAGATTTTACAGATGAGGCACTGTCATGTGACTCACTGCAACTCGACATCAGCCCAGGTCTTGGTGAGTGTTTGAAGCCAGGTAGCTGTGTTGGCACATATTTAAGCATGTGTCACATGTGAGCCACAGCAGATAGTGGTGATAGGGATAGAGTCCCCAACACATACTATCCTCTGCTCAGCTCGCCAAAGGTCCTGTGCTTCATAGTTCAGCCAAAAAGAGGACAAATCTTTAGCAGCAGTAGCAGAAAATACAGGCAGTTTCATCCCAAGGCACTGCACATGACTGAGGGATACTGGGATGGTCTGAATCCAACACGAGTGCTATATCATGTCAGGTCTTTGCACTGATGTCCGCCTCTTGGATTTGCAGCAGGCACTTAGGACATTCACTGTGTGCATCAGATGTGTGATTCTACAGATATCGCTGGCTGTTCCATGGGAGGAGCTGGAGGTGATGAAATGCAGGGCTGTGGTGTTGTTGATGGCCATTGGCAATTCATGCCCATTGTGTTCATTTGGCAGGAAGTCATCTTCCTGGAAGTTGTAAATATTAGCAACAGTCTAACATGAGAGTCTAAGTCTCCTGAGGCACCTGGTGCTCAGTCATGTCCAGAACAATGCTTGTCTCCTGGGAACCCCTGTGTTGAGTAGCTGTGCTCCTGTCAGTCGGACTCCTGTGTCCATTTGCTCTATCCGTTGGAGTGGTAAGCAACTAAGGAGATGGTTGCTGTTGCTGTTGATGTTGTTCCTCTAGTTCTAATCATTAGAGGTCAAAGATAGAGCCGTATGAGCTGTTCCCAGGATGATCTGACGGCTAACAGCATAGATGTCTACATTAAAGGCAGAACACTCCACGGTAATAGAAATGACCTTCCAATCAGTGAAAGAATACTGTCAGAACAAGTCTTGTGAACAAAAACCAGTCACCTACGCAAACAAGCAGTTGTCATAGGACTGTATTTAAAGGGTTTTCAGCCTGTTACCCAGATCATCCTGGAGAGTTCATGATGCCTGGGAACCTCTTGTCATGGCAGTAATCCAGAATCCATGATTAAACATACTGTTATCTGATTCTTAGCATAAGTTAATCAGCTGGTTCCAGTTGGTTTCCTGACAACTGATTTTTTTGGTGGTTTTAGGTTCAGAACACTCTGATACCCACCCACTCTGGCAGGGTTATCCATTATCCTGTGTAACTAGTCAGACAGGGATGCTGATAAAGTATGTATTTTTTATAATAGGTTACATATTTCTCATCAAACCCCAGCTCTTTATATACAATTTTAAACTGACATGGTATTGACAATGTAGAAAAAAACTAAAATTAAAATCTCCATTATAAATGCACATTTTTAATAGAATCTCTACCTATTATCTGTGCTCAGTACCATACCTCTCAATTATGTACCATCAGTACATAATTGCAGATATCCATCAGCTTAGCCTTGATCTGGCATTCTAGGATCATGTGGTGCTTTTACTCAGCGATCTTCGTTTCCAGCTTGAAGCTACAAATAACTT